AATAATGCTTCTATGTGTGATTCTTTCAAACGGTACTTGGATCGTTGTTTTCAGCTGAAAGACTTAGGCCCGGTGAAATGTTTTTTGGGTATTGAATGTGCTCGTTCGTCTTCTGGGATGGTCTTATGCCAGCGTAAGTATGCACTGGATATTTTACAAGAGGCCGACTTACTGTGTTGTAAACCCGCCACCACCCCCTCCCCCTTCTCACGGTTTGCATGCGTTAGGTGGCCCTCTTCTCCATGATCCGGAACGGTTCCGACGTCTTGTTGGATGCTTGATTTATTTGACGATCACTCGCCCGGATATTTGTTATGTTGTTCATGTTTTATCTCAGTTTATGCAGGCACCCACAGTTGATCACATGAACGCTGCTATGCACGTTCTTCATTATATTAAAGGTCGTCCGGGCCAAGGCATTCTCTTGAGTGCTACAAGTAATCTACAGATCTCCGCATATTGTGATTCTGATTGCAGTTGCCCGATGTCACGCCGGTCAGTTAGCGGATATTTTATCATGCTGGGTACTTCTCTTGTCTCTTGGAAGACCAAGAAGCAAACCACTGTTGCCCGTTCTTCCGCCGAGGCTGAATTAAGGGCCATGTCAAATGCTTGTGTGGAAATTCGCTGAATGCTTGGTATTCTGAAAGCTCTTGATGTGCCGATTTTGTATCCTCCGAGACTATATTGTGATAATCAATCTGCCTTGTACATTGTAGTGAATCCCGTCTTTCATGAACATATGAAACATATTGATGTTTAGGGCTGTCAACGGATAGCTGAAAATCCGATTATTGTCCGCATCCGTATCCGTTTAGAGAGGAAATATCCGCATCCGTTTTAAACGGATATTATCCGTATCCGATTAAAGATATCCGATTACTAAACGGATACGGATTTGGTAATTGTATATCCGATCCGTTTAAAATCTGATCTGAATATGCATTCGTTTAAATAACCGTTTATCCAAATATCCGATCCGTTATATATAGTTTTTCCTAATTTTTTATGTTTATATTTTGTTTCTCTATTGATATTTCAAAATATAAGATATTTTTTAATACAAAATAAATGTGTAGACACATAAAAATATGTACAGACATATAAAAATATGTGTATATATGTGCTGTGTATATCTTTTTATCATATGAAGTTATTGTAGAATATCACAAATCATGAAAACAAAGAAAATATTTTTCCCATAACAAATTATAGTTGATTTAATAATAGTTTGGCTTTAATAAAATTTAAAATTAAAGTATTTTTTTAATTTGATTTTAAAAATTGGAAACGGATACGGATATATCCGATATCCGACCGATATCCGACGGATGCGAATACGGTTTTGATTTTTAGTATCTGTCAAGATCCGTATCCGAATTCGATATTCGATAAAAATAAACGGATACGGATTTGGTAATGGCACATCCGATCCGATAAAAATCCGTTTACACCCCTATTGATGTTGATTGTCATACGGTTCGTGAATCTGTTCAGCACCATGAAGTGTCCACACGCTACGTCCCTACTCTTTACCAGTTAGCAGATATTTTTACGAAACCCTTGTCTAAACCCGCTTTTGATTTCTTACTTTGCAAGTTGGGCATTCATGACATTCATGTTCCAACTTGAGAGGGAGTGTTAGCGGATATTTGTATATAGGTTTTGTTGTAGCATATTGGGCCAAGCCCATTTCTATACTTGTATTTATATCAGTTCACGATTAATGAAATTCAAATCGATTTTTCACCAAACTCTACAAAATTGGATTCAATCATTTTATATGATTCAACTATAGTGTCTTGTGAACCAATCTAGTAACTCTTTCATATTTGTGTATTTTAAACGCACGGGGACGTTAAACGCCGCCACCCTTTTTATATTTGTGTATTTTATTCATTATGTGATAAGATAAAAACATTCTTATTATCAATTGTTTTGTAAAACTTCTAACATAATTTTTGAATGTATAAATTTTATTTTTATTGATACATACCAGTTTATAAATAAAATAATTTCAAAAGATGAGAGATTTTTCCTCGTAACTCCTAATTTGTAATCCAAATTGAGATCGAGGAATAACTTAGTGTGCTCATGGGTTTGTTCCCTGTTCTTTTATCTCCCTCTTCATAAATTAAACTTTCGCCTCATAACTTCACTTTTTTAAAATTCGTGATCAAATAATGAAGGGGAATTTACATTAATAGCACTAAACATAATGACTTTCACTAAATAGCATCACATGTGTTTTTTCTTCCAATGTAGCCTTTTAGTCATCATGCATTAGTCAATATTCAAGACTCAAGTAAATGTTCGCCATCACTGACATTATTAAAATTTTGTGCTCACATTTTGTATTAATGTAATTTATCAATCTCACACTAACTTTAATGCAAAATGTAATTGTAAATAGTTTAGGTACACTTTAAGGTATATTCTTGGGGGTACAAGTAGATTTATCCAAAAAAAACTCACAGTTTTGCAGGTCTTACCGGGTCGCGTGGTGGACATGCATTATAGGACGGGAGCCGGGATGGAAGTCGTGGTGCTTACGGCATGCTTTGAAAATACTGGGGGGGGGGGGTAGGTACACCAGTGTTGGGACACACATCCTTTCACCCAAACCTCGCAATAGTATGATATTGTTTGATCTAGGTCATGCCCTCACGGATTTATTTTTGGGCACTTCCGAAAAGGCCTCATACTAATGTGGTTGGGTAACCATATATATTTAGGTTCTCCTTCTCTTTTTTGCATGGTGTGAGACAAGTTTGTTTTCCCAACAAAGCTCCCTCAAACTAGGACCACACAATCTCGTGACTTCCCCTTCAATGATTATCTATTTGAAGTGCACACCATCTTGCACTGTCGGTCTGTCGCTACACACTTGCGGGACACGCCACCCGACATTCTTTTTTTCGAGAAGACTTTCGACATAAGGTATATCGCAGACCAACAATTCGCTAAGGTCACACCATTTAATCTGCCAAATCATCTTGTACCACTATTAACACTAAACGGGACACGCCGCACGACCGACCACCACTTATCAAGAAGACTTTCGATACAAGGCACCATCTACTAACCTTTGGTCAAGCTCTCACACTAGGGTACCCCATAAACTCCGCATTATGCAGTCTACCACTCCGACCTGCACGAACTGGGCATCGATACCACATGTTGGGACCATGTGTACCCTCACCCCAACAAGTATTAGTATGATATTATTTGCTCTGGGCCATTACCTCACAAACTTATTTTTAGGCACCTCCCAAAAGGCCTTATATTTAAAGCATGTTAATTTTTCCCTTTTATCAATCTAGTATAATATAATTTAAATGTATTATTTGTTCATTTTTATTTTTATAATTTTTATAATTTTTTTATTTTAAATTTTTTATGCATTTTTACTAATAGATAGATTTTTTTTATTTAAGTTTTTAACTAAATTTATTTATGGCCCATACACATTTTTTTGGAATCCTAACATTTTTAATTTTTTAATACAAGTATATATTATATACTTTAATTAAAAGTTTAAAAGTTATTTTTTAAGGTAGGTGTTACAATATTTAATTGTAATGCTAGAATTTTTTTATATCTTTCGCTATAATATTAATTGTTATTTTAAGGAAAATATTTTATGCAATTTATTTTTTAAGGCCTATTTTTTCGTCTCATCCAGCGCCACATCAGGGCCGGCCCTGCAGTGAGAATGTGAAATAATGTTGTTCCTATACTACATTTTATAAATTTTCCGAAAAAAAAATAATACGGAGTATTAAATAAAATTATATTGCACAAATAAAATATAGTTTTAGACAAATATTATAAATTTAGAATGTACATTAAACCATGCGAATGGAAAGTGGAAACATAAGGTTAAACGTAGACACTTAGTTACATTAATATTTGAAATTATATTTATTTAGCTCAGCGAAGGTTAGCATAATACTCAATATCTAGAGTATTTAATTAATCATTGGTAAAACGTACCAAAAAAGCTCTAGTTCAGGGGCAAAACGGGTCCCCTACAGCACATGGACAATTGAGATTACCAGAACTGGTTTTTATTATATCTTCACAAAATATGCCACACTTTTCTCTTAAAATCATTGGATCATCCACTACAAGAAAATCGCTAAACTGCGACGGATATTTGCGACGGGTCTACTTCCGTTGTACACGGCGACGGAATTTGCGACGGAACCAAAACCGTCGCATGACCCATCGCAAACACTGATTGCGAGAGAAACTGAGGTAGTTGCGGCGGAAATTTTCCGTCGCAAATTCGCGAATTTCTTGTAGTGATCGAGACCACCAAATCGTTCCGCATTGACCTCGTAGCATAATCCGTAACATTTGCAATAAAGTTTTGTGTTGCATTCACTTGCTACTCCTCGTAACCATATTAGTTTGAGAACTAAAGTTTTGATCAATAACTTCATTATGATCTCATTGTGAGAAGTCATAATTTGCCTGCTCTCAAAAAGAGAAATTAGATGAAAATTTTATACATTTAAAAACATAAAATTTATACATTTAAAAATAAGATGAAAATTTTACATGTTATTAACTATAAGAAAAACATATTCTATAAGGAATATTAGATAATAGCAAATAAATATTATAATTAATTTCTTTTCTTATTCCTTTATTTTCTTATTGTATTGTTACTATATTTTTTTTACTTGGATTGAAATTCTCTCATGTAATTTCTATAAATATGAATATATTTTTCATTATTCATTAAGATCAATTATTATCAAATTATATCATGGTATCGGAGCTAAGATTCTCTAAAACTTAGGCTCTTCTTTAAGACCGAGCACATCGCCAGTCTCTGTTCACGGCGGTTGATTGTCCGACAGTAGGTCATCACCAACTGATCTCGACGAGAGCACCTAACATGCTACCGTCTATTATCTCTCTCTTTCTTTCCAAAAAAATCCATTATCTCTACTCTCTTATAAAAAAATCAATTATCGTGAGCATGGAAAATGATAGCGAAACAAATAATGGCCCACAAGGAGAAAAAAAATTGCTCGCCCTCGTTCCAATTGTCAAACTCTCACTAGAAAAAAACTCAGCAAACGTAATTTCAAGCTCGTTCGTCATGCAACGAAGATCTAACTCTCTACTTCTAGAGGTTATCCTCACAAAACTACTTCTGCCAGTTCAATTCTAGTACATGTGCTCCAAGCTATTCCCCGTTACTGATGATCAACTTGCAGGGAATATTAAGAATATTAGGTAACAAGAAATAAATAATATAATTAATTTCTTTCCTTATTCATTTATTTTCTTATTATATTGTTACTACTTTTTTTCTACTTGGATTGGAACTCTCTCATGTAATCACTATAAATAAGAATGTATCTTTTACTATTAATTAAGACCAAATATTATACAATTGTACTCCGTATCATATTCTTTTGTACTAAAAAATGAAGCACAATCCCATAACCTCTTTGTGCTCCTTCCCTTCTCAATCCACACCTTGCCACCACCCACTTGCCCCTTTTGTTGACAAATTAGTATGAAAAGATTAACAAGTAAATATAGAAAGAAAAAACATTATGAGTACATGAACTTCATCTTGCATTTTATTTTTGACCTCAATGTTTTCGCAGATATTACAGATAAAAAGTATTGTTCCGTATCTTTAATGTTTGTGAAAAATATTGAGATTAAAAGTTACTCCCTCCGTCCTATAATGTTCTTCACGGTTCTGTTTACGAAGTTTGACCGATTTTATTTTTAATTTAATTTATTTGATTGTACGTGTAAAATTTAAAAATAAAATTTATATATTTAAAAACTACATCAAAAATTCTACAAAACAAGTGGTGACAAGATTATATTATTTTATCAAATACCTAATGAAAATAGGTAAAGAAAATGATTAAAGTTTGACCATGTGAATAGTAAGTGGGAAGAACATTTCAGGACGGGAGTATGTGTAAGATGGGGTTAATCTAGGCGCGTAAATATATACTCCGTCAATAAAACAATAATGACGACCTTTGTTTGCAATTACCCGTGGTGGATAAACTGAAAGCGTTTTATACCGAGAATCTTCCAAGAAATTTTCTCTTTTAATTAAATACTCGTATAACTATCCGACTTTGGGACAATATTCTATTGATGTGTTATGGGCTATGGGTATATATATACATGCATATTAAATTGGAATAACGTTTGATAATGTTTGGTACATTTTTACTTTTATAACTTACAACTTTAAATATGTATTAATCATATAGGGGGTGTTTGTTTTTCTGCCAGAAGACCTTCTGACGTCTTTTGTCTGCGCCGCGCAGACGATGGATTTTGCAGATTGTTTGTTTTTTGGAAGACATTTCACTCAAAAAGGTCTTCCTGACATATTCTTGGAGAAGACATTAACCAATGTCTTCTAACATCTTCTAACATCTTCTCCTTTTTTTTCTACTTCTCTTCACCACCACAACCGTCCACCATCACCGTCACCGTCCATCACCATCGTC